CCATCTTCCTTCCGAGGAGTGGCTGGTGGGTTTGAACTGCCAGCCTTCTGGTTAGCAGTCAAGTGCCTTAGGCACTATGCTACCAGAGCTCCCTGAGGTAGAATTGCTGTTGTTGTTGTTATGTGCCATCGAGTCAGACCCAACTCATAGTGACCCCTCCTTGGGTTTCCGAGGCAGTATCACTGTGGAAGTAGATTGCCCCATCTTCCTTCTGAGGAGTGGCTGGTGGGTATGAAGTGCCCCTCTTGTGGTTAACAACCAAATGCCTTATGCACTACGCCACCAGAGCTCCTTGAGGTAGTATTAGAACATCTAATATGTGACACAGATTAACACTGGGCTCTGAAAATAACTTGATGCCTCCAATCGATGTCTTCATAAATTTCCCAGATGACTGATAAAACCATTGATTAGTACATGTTAGTTTATTTTGCTTCTTAAACTAAATCAAATATGGATGTTTGTCATCATCAAGGTTATTATGAAAATAAACTTATATATGATATTTTCCAAATTAAAAAATCCATTTTTTTCATAAGAAATACTTGTGAATAAGAGTTTTTTTTTACACATATCACTTCCACCATCACCACCTGGCATAAATCTACTTTGCCTATCCCACGTTAAAATGGGAAACACAATCAATTGGAGCTAGCCACCTTATACACAGACATAGTGACTAAAGGACAACTTATTTTAGAGTAAAATTTTGAAAACTCTTAACTTTTGTAGCTGTAATCCATATATAAGCTAGAGTTTACTATCACTTTTAAAACCTACAAATAATTGATCCAATCTTATCCAATGGATTATAAAACTAAGATAAAAACTAACCTGTAGAAATTCCTTTCATTCCTAATGTGTTACCGTGATATAATCCAATTTGGATTCTTTCTCTCTGCTGAATTTTTTTCCTTTTCTTTCATTGCCTTTATAAATCACAATATAGGTACACTAATATAAGATACAGTCCATGTCCTGAATCCATCCTCCAAGGAATGCTCATGTATATAACCAAGATTTTACCAAATAATAGGGGCCGCATGAAATGGTCACATGACACAAACTTCACAAAATGCGAAAACATAGTTTCTTTCTGCCACTATGAAAATCTTACTATCTGGGATACTTCATGTAGCCCTCCAGGCTCTCACCATCTAAAGAGCTTTCTTCTTTTGTTTTTCAAGCTTATCGATGTATAATTTGAACAATATAAAATCTGCCCATTTTAAGTGCACACTTCAATGAGCTTTGGCAAATGTATAATTGTATAAACAGCACCATAATGAATATATAGAATAATTACTCTCCTAAGTAATTTCTTGTCCTTTTGCAGTCAAATATCTCCTTCTATACACAGTCTCAGACAAGTATCGATTAGAAACTATTGATAACTATAGCTATTTCCAGAGTTTCATACAAATGTAATCATCAGTATATAATTTTTGAGTTTAGCTTCTTTCACTCAGCATGTTTTTGAAATTTAGCATGTCGTTGCATGTATCAGTAGGTCCTTTTCACTGCTGGCTCAAATCCAGCTGTATAAATATACCACAATTTATCCATTTTTCTGATGATAAGATTTTGGAACTATTTTCAATATTGGGCTGTTATGAATAATGCTACTATAAAAATTAATGTACAAGTGTTTGTGTGTCAGATGTTTTCATTCAACTTAGATAAATACCTAAGAATGGGGCTGATATGGTAGATGTGTTTAACTTTAGGGCTTGTTTTCAAGCGGCTGTACCATTTTGCATTTCAAATAGCAGTGTGTGTACTCTACATAATGACTAATAGTTGGTACTTCTTTATGCTTTTAGCTTTTCAAGTGGATTTATAGTTATATATCTCGTTGTGGTTTAATTTGTATTTCCTCAATGATTGGTGATGTTATCCACTTTTTCATGTGCTCCTCAAGTAATTTATACGTTTTATGAATTTTCTGTTCAAATATTTGATCATTGTTAATGGTTGTTTGTCTTATAATTGTTTAGTTTTAACTGTTACTTAGGTATTTTGGACTCAAGTTCTGGATCGAAAAAATGTTTTGCAAAAGTTTTCTATTAGTCTGTGGTATGCCTTTCATTTATTTGTTTTTAATGGTGCCTTTCAAAGAACTAGTTTTTTAAGTTGCATGAAGTCCAGCATACTGTTTCTATAAATAAACTTGTTGATATTTTAATTGGGATCCCATTGAGTTTGTAGACCAATTTGGGAAGAATCAACACCTTGGAATACAGAATCTCCCAGGAATAGAGTATATATCTCCATTTATTTATATCATCTTAATTTCTCTCAGAAGTATTTGAAGTTTCATCGTACATATCTCATCCATATTTTGCTAAATTCATCCCTCAGTCTTTCATAATTTTGGATACCACTGTAAATGACATAGATATACAACAGATTTTTTTTAATTGACCTTTTAACCTGTGACTGTACTAAGTGCCCTTTTTAATTCAAGTCTCTTTGTAACAGATTACACTTTGTAACAGATTACATTTTCTAAGTACATGATGATGCCTTCCATAAAGACAT